TGTGCCATAGCTCCAGGCTAAGACATTCCTGTTGTGAGTGGGAACAGCTGACCTCATGCTCTGACCTCAACAGGACCTAAGTGGATTTATTCATGTGTTTAAAGTCAGCATATGCTTCTGCACATTGCTAAGCCTCAGCCTTGGTGACAAACAACTCCAGATTAATTATATAACAAGGGTGATTACTTTAAGTTAAGGGTGAATAATACCACTTCACTCAGGATATCCAAACTGCTACTATGCAAGGTGCTGCTGGCATGGTGTGAAAATAGCTGGGAAGGATGATCTGAGGTCTTTCCAGTATTATAACTCTGTATTTCCCAATGATGTATTATGCTCTGTATTATTCCAGGTGGGGTAAAACTTTTTTTTTTTCCTAGCATCAACTGTCATAGTCACTTCTTCTGTGGTGTGTTTTTCTTTCTGTGCATACATAAACTCAAGTTGGTGCAATTATAAAATCTATGATGTACAGATTTATTATATCACTACAAAAACCTAAGAGGATTTTTTTAAGGAAGTAACTCCTGCTGTACATACAATAAAAGCCAATTGTCTCTGTGTGGTGTGCTGTCCTACATACCCAGGTGTAACAGATGGTTTTCTACCCTCCTTCACTAGTTTGACCTGTTGCTTAACACAGAGCATTTACCTGTTTGTTCAGGAGCAGAGTTCGTTCCTGATAACCCCAGCCTATCAGGCAGCCCCTTGGTGCTTGAGAAATCACCTGAAACACAGATTGGGGAGGGAATCTAATGGCAGAAGGGATTGTGGAGCTCATTGTGGTTACTCAGTATTTTTTCCTCAGTTCTGTTGTAATATCCTAAATTAGGGGGCAAAGGGGGGGAGTTTTAGGGCCTGGATCCTATGGGGAAGACACCAGTACTAGAATGAGTAGAATGAGCACAGCCTGGGAATTGGGTTCCCTTGTGATGATTTTACTGAAAAGGTTATGTTATAAATCACTGCTGCCACAAAGCCCTGCCAGGCTGAGGGGAAAAAACCCAACCCCAACATTAAAACTACCACAACAGAAAAACCAACAAAACAAATAAAAGACATTCATGTGAAAATATCCACAGTAATGTTCCTTTTTCCCTTCCAAAGGTGAGGGCTGTACCCTCTTTTAGGAGGAAATGTTACATTCCCTTACTGGGAGTTAGTGCCCACATGTTTATTTCATATTATTGAAGTGCTTAGCTCAAATTTCCTTTTGAGCTTTCCATCCTTTTCCTCCCTACTCTAATCTGTGGTGAGTTTTTTTTTACCTTGTGTGATGCCATTCCTGTACATTAGCAAAAGTGACAAGACCTGTCAGAGGGACAGCAGGAATGGCTGTAGCTCCAAGTGTGGCACCATACTCTTCCCTCCAGTTCATTCTTAAACAATAATATAAAAGATATTCGATTTTTCACCTCTCTACTCAGGTGAGCCCTGGCATAAGATGCAATTTCACAGTCTGAGGTTAATGCTGAAAAAAAAAATTTGGAGCTGCAGGATCCAGACTCATATGCATTGTAAATGTTCAGTTAACTATAGTGAATTAATTTATACTTATTGTGACAAAGTGAATGCACTGGAAGTAGGATAAACCCCCCTGGTGTGCTGGATGCTGGAGAAAACCAGGCAGAAGTCCATGTGAGTGTGCACTGAAATATACAGGGAAAGTAAGTAAAAGCAGACTATACAAAAACTACCAGTCAGCTTCAGTCCTTGAAAAAGAAAATAATTTGTACATGCAGTTAGATCCTTAAAAAAACTCTCCTTACTACTCCTGTAGTCATTCAAAACTTCTGGTGTGTCATTTTGAAAGAACAAATGGTTCTCCATCCTGAAATGAACACTGTTTTGCCAAGTACAATATTTTGAAAATTCAAATGCTGCGTTGTTCCAGTTTCCCACAAGACAGTCAGGATGGCCATGCTGCCTTGGGTGCATTGGGATGGGCATTGCCAGCAGGTCAGGGCTGATGCTGCCCCTGTGCCCAGCCCTGGGGGCACCTCTGGCTGCTGTGTCCAGCTCTGGCTCCTCAGCACAGCAGGGCCAGGAGCTCCTGGAAAGGACCAGGAGAGGGTGACAAAAGAAGGGAGTGGAGCATCTCTGCTGTGAGGAAAGGCTGAGGGAGCAGGGGCTGTTCAGTCTAAAGAAGAGAGGGGACCTCTTTAATGTGTATAAATAGCTAAAGGGGGATGGCCAGGGGATGGATCCAGGCTCTGCCACAGGATGAGAGGAACGGGCAGAAACTGATGCACAGAAGCTCCACCTGCACATGAGGCAGAACTTCCCTGTGCCATGACCAAGCCCTGAACAGATTGTCCAGAGAAGCTGTGGAGTCTCCCTTGCTGGAGTTACTCCAGAATGCCTGGACACAACCCTGTGTTGTGTGCTGTGGGATGGCCCTGCTGGAGCAGGGAGATGTGACCTGGTGACCAACTGTGGTCCCTTCCAGCCTGACCCATTCTCAGAACACTCTCTACACTTCTCTTTTGAAACTGCTACTTGGGTTGGTGGGATGGGTAACTGTGATGGTGTTTGCAGGGGTCCCATGATGAGGGAAGAGATGAGAATGTTGACTCCATGTTTCAGAAGGCTTGATTTATTATTTTATGATATGTATTATATTAAAACTATACTAAGGAATAGAAGAAAGGATTTCATCAGAAGGCTAGCTAAAGATAGAAAAAGAATGATAACAAAGGCTTGTGTCTGACTGAGACAGTCTGGACAGCTGGACTGTGATTGGCCATTAATTAGAAACAACCCCATGAGACCAATCCCAGATGCACCTGTTGCATTCCACAGCAGCAGATAACCATTGCTTACATTTTGTTCCTGAGGCCTCTCAGCTTCTCAGGAGAAAAAATCCTAAGGAAAGGATTTTTCAGAAAATATCACGGCTACAGGTAACAACTGAGAAAGGCTGTGGCCGTTTCCAGCTGTTAAAGATGTATCCAGATGTGAGAAGAGCACATTCCCTGGAGAAAACAGAGCTGGTGCCAGCTTCCCACCACCTTTTGATCCCCAGTGGTGTTGTGACAGTGAAGGCTGAACAGTCACACCATGGTGACAGGGAGCACTGCATAAGGCTTTGGGGGGACTCTACTGCAGGTAACACTTCCCAGCAGAGCAAAAAATTGGGGCATCTTGCTTGAATACAAAAAGCCTGTGTGCTTCTTGCCCTGGCCACCACCTGGAGTGGTGGAATAACCTGAAGGTTTAAACCCCCCTAAATGATTTCTGCTGGCAGGTACAGCAGGGCTGGGCACTGACAGATCCTGGTTGTGCCAGAATGGGAGATTTAGGAATCATAGAACCATTTTGGTTGGAAAAGACCCCCAAGGTGATCAATCCAACCCTTGACTGATCCCCACCTTGTCCCCAGCCCAGAGGACTGAGTGCCATGTCCAGGCACTCCTTGAACACCTCCAGAGATGGGGATTCCAAACCTCCCTGAGCAGCCCCTGCCAATGTTTACTTATGCTTTATGTGAAGAAATTCCTCCTAATGCCCAACCTGAACCTTCCCTGGTGCAACTTGAGACTATGTCCTGTCATCCTGGAGCGCTGAACCTCAGAGAGGCTTGGAAAGGAGGCACAGGCACTCGTGTGCATGGCCAGGGCTTGGGCCCACTGAGAACCTGATGTGGCTTTTGTCCAGAGAAAGGGAACGGAGCTGGGGAAGGGTCTGGAGCAGAAGTTCTCTGAGGAGTGGCTGAGGGAGCTGGGGGTGTTCAGCCTGTGGAAAAGGAGGCTCGGGGGTGATGTTGCTGCTCCCTGCAGCTCCCTGACAGGAGGGAACAGCCAGGTGGGAACTGGGTTTTGTTCCCAGGGAAATGGCCGAAGCTGCACCAGGGGACAGTCAGGTCGGGCATCAGGAATTTCTTCACTGATGTGATAAAACATTGGAACAGACAGCTCAGGGATGTGGTGCTGTCCCCGTGCCTGGATGTGTTTAAGGAAACAGTGGATGTGGCACTCAGTGCTGTGATCCGATGGACAGTGTGAAAAACGCCAATCACTTGTTTTTAACATTTTAAAAGTTTAATAGTAATAAAATGGTTATAAAAATAGTAATAAAATTAGAGTAATAATAATTTGGACAATTTGAATTAGGACAAGATGAGACAGTAAAGACAAAGAGTTACAGACGTCCAGGTACCTTTTTCTGGGCAGCACGAGCCCGAAACACCCGTTAACAAAGGATTAACCCTTAAAAGCAATAGCCTGTTGCATATTCATACACCCCATACATGATGCATAAATTCTATTCAAACACAGGATTCTGTCTGGTCATCATCAACTTCTCTGAATCCTAACAGCGCGCCTTCGAGGCGGGAAGAAGTTCGTTTCTTCTGATAAGAGGGCAATAAATTCTTTTTCTCTGAAAGATTTAGGTGTCCTGTGGCTGCTATCTTGCTGCAAGTCCTTTCTTTAAAAAATGTATCCTACATAGCATAGTTTCTATTTTAACATTTTTTATAACCTAAAACTACATTTAACACAGTACTTAAGAGAATTAATACAGCATTACTTTCTAACACAACACATATAACATTCATTTGAATATTTGCGAAAAGCCAATCATAAAATACGCATCTTTCACAGACAGGGTGCTGTTGGGTCATAGCTTGCACTGGGTGGTCCTGGAGGTCTTTTCCAACCTAACCGATCCTGTGATTCTGTTTCTGCCAGCCCGCAACCCGGCACTGCCCGTGAGGAGACGGCAAACCCGGCGAGAGCCACCCGGCTGCTCCGCCACCTTCAGCGCGGCCCGGGGAGCCGCCGCCAAGGGCTGCGGGTGCTCAGGGCTGGGATCCGCCCGGGAGGGGACGCGGGTGGCGGCACCCCGAGCGCTGAGGCAGGGCCATGGCCGGGGACGCGGCCGGGGTCAGGGCCGGGGCCGGCCCCGCCGCACTACACTTCCCGCCCTGCTCCGCGCCCGCCCGCGCCGGCTTCCGCTGGCGCGTGGTTTCCGGAGCGGATCGGAACCCGGAGCGCGGATCCGATCCGGGTCTGGCCATTCCCGGGGCAGGTAACGCCGGCTCCCCGCGCTCCTCCCGCCGCACCCCGCGCCCTCCCCGCCACCCCCGCCCGGGACCCCCCGCGCCCGCCCCGCCGCGGTTCCTCCCGCCGCTCCCCGGGACGCGCGGCGGGGCCGGGGCGGGCGCGGCGGCCGCTCCGAGCGCTCCCGGGGCGGCGGCGGTGGCTGCGGCCCCGCCGCCTCCTCCTCCGCCGCCGCCGCCTCCTCCAGGCCGCCTGTTCTTTGTTACAGCGGCCGGGAGGGCGGTAGCGAAGGGGGCGAGGCGGGTCCGAGGCAAAACCCGGCGGAGCCGCTCCCGGATCCCGGGCCCCGACGGGCTCCGGGCGGCGGCGGTGGCGGCGCGGTCCCTGAGGGGAGGGCGCGGAGCGGGCGCGGGGCGATCCCCGCGGGCTCGGCCGGGCTGGGCACGGAGCCGTGGCGGCCACGGGGATGCGGGGCCGGCAGCGGGGAGCGCCTCGGCTTGGCCGCAGGGGGTTGGGGATGGATGGAGGGGGGTGGGAGCTCCCAGGTGCGAGGGCGTGATCCAGAGGGAAGAGGCTGGGAGCGGGAGGAGGAGGAGGAGGAGGGGAGGTGCGGGGATGCTGCCCTGCCCTGGGAGAGGGTGCAGTGGGAGCCCGAGAAGACAAAAGGAGCAGAGCCGCGGGCTGCGGGGCTCCGCACACGTGAAATCTCCTGCAGTACGCTCGTTTTCTGCTCAGGGCCATTAAACTTTGCGTAGTTTATTCGCAGCATCGCGGCAAGTGCTGGGAAGGGCAGGTGGCACAGACCCCGCCAGCTGCTGTGTTACTCCATGCCCCCCTGACTGGCCTAGAAATTGTCTCCCTCCTCAGCAATAATTGATAGAATGGCCCTAATTTTTTTTAAGAAATACAAGGCCTCGCTGTAGTTTACCAGATGTTCTGCAATTCCTTTGAATAGTAGCATGAACAAGTTTTACTACATCATGAGGAAAATTGCATTTTTGAGCGCATCCTTCCACGTACATATGTGCAGCACCCATCTGCTTGTGCTCTCAAGTTATTCACTCTCATAGAAGCCCATTCTCAGACTGAAGAGAGGAGAATTTTAATTCTACCTTGTTGATCATTAAGTTCAAACACAGATTTTCAGGCAGTCCGTTAATTTTTCTGACCTACTTTTTTTTTTTTTAAATCCATTAGCAAGATCAACTTTTCACTTGAGCCTGATTTCTTTCTTCAGCAGTTTATAAGGAGAAAGTGTGATTTTGCATCCATTCTTAAATTTTTACAGCTCAAGTGGTTCCCTGACAGTATCTTTGCACATATTGGGCTGCAAGCAGGTACCTGTGATGCTGCAGCTCCTCAGTGTCTTAATTTGGGTTCCCTCAAGTTCCAGATATACTCCAAGGCTTGTGTTGCAGCTGGAATTTTTGTGCATAGCTGTGTGGCTCTAGTTTCAGGCATAAAATCACTCATCTAATTATAAAAGCCAAAAAATGTGTTTTTCTGCTCTTTTACTGCCATCAGAATTGGGCTTTGTACCTGGTCTAGTTTCCTCTGTGTGGCTTTTCTCCTGATTATTGACTTCTAATGATTACTCTCTGTTTTATGTAAAAAATACCTGCAACTCCCAGAAGCTTTGCAAGACAAGAACAGAATTAGGAGCATGGGATGAGTGACTTCATGGAGTATTTTTCTGTTACGAATGTTTGAAAAGAAAAAAAAAAAATTAGACCCCATGGCCCTTAGCAACAGCAGATGAGGGCAAAAACAATCCTGCAGCCTGTGTTCAGTGCCACCATGTGAGTGGCACATCGTGACTCTGTTTACAGCTGGTGGCATCGTGTTGTGTGCTTTGTTTCAAAAACCCCTGGGAAATCGAGCTGAGATCGGGGAGGAGGGGCTGTAAAGCACATGGGTGAGGAGGGTGTAAATCAGAATTGTAAAGCAGGCAGCAGTGTTGGTTTGGGAGCTGGGGTGAGGCTGGATCGGGAGTGTTGTGAGTGCACAACACCAGAAGTCCTTGCTGCAGAGAGGGAGCTGCGCTAATGCAGATCCTGAGGCACCCGTGAGGGCCCTTCACGCTTCCTCCCCATCACCTTGAGCAACGATGATGATTTCTCCACCCCTTTGTTGCTATTCTCATCTGAAGGCTCCTGTAATGTCACTTGTCCCCTGTCTGTTTGCCAAGGATGCAACACAGCAATGTCCCAGAGGCTGAATGCCTTTGGTGGTGTGGCTGCACTGTGCTTGTGAACCATTGATCAAGGCCATTATTCCTTAATTCACCCATATTTAGGATTAAAGGTTTCTCAGGACACAAACTGTCTAAAAACAGCTGGGCATACCCCTCTTGAAATAGTGCAAAGCATCAAAAAAAAAAAAAGTTGGTTAAAAAGCAAAGCAAACCATTTTTGATGTCAACTTACACTGCTTGTTTTTGCAGTGTTGTGCTTGGACTCCCCTAAACACCTGTTGCATTATTCAGGAAAAGAGCTTTTGGGGGAATTTCCTGAGTTGCTGTTCCTGCTCGGCATTGGGCTTTTGGATAAATGTTTGTTCTGTTATTTGAGCTTAGTCCCCAGAAGCTGCAGCCCAGAAAGGCCCAGCTTGTGCCATGCATGGGGAGTGTTTGCCCCTTAGAGCAGAGAGTGTTAGGGAGGGATCCTGCTGCTGGCAGGGCAGGGCAGTGCCTGAAGTGTCCTGATCCTGAGCAGTGCCCGTGCTCCCACATTTCTGGCTTGGCTTTTGGTGCTGGAGTAGCAAATGCTTTATCTATTTTCAAACAGGGCTCTGTGAGTTTGGTGTGTCATGTTTCCTCTCCCTCTCAGAGATTCAGGCTCTTTCTCCTTCCTGTCCTCCACTTGCTGTTTTGCAGCCTCACCTCTCTCAGACTTGGGTCATGATCTTTTTGTTGCTTTGCCTTTTTTTTTTTGATGTTTTGGGAAAATCACTTATTTGAGGAGAAGAGCATTTTTTTGGGTAGAAAAGGGAAAAACTCTCTTCTAGGTGCTCATGTTGTGGTCTTAGCCATACATAATCAGACTTTGTTCCAACCATAGCTTAATTGTTGAGGGGCAATAGTGTTCATGCAAGTTTTTAATACAAACTGACACTAATGAAGTGAATATAGATTAACCTTATTTAACTGTGAAATCAAATTGGTTAGTTACCATTTCATAGAAGGTCAGTAACAGAGGCAGGGTTTTATTTCCCCAGGTTTTTTGGTGCTCAGTACCACCATATACTTTTGCCTTTGGAAGAGGTCTGTGAGTGTATCTGCAGTTTTTAGTATTACTGTGCTTATTAAATTAGTAATCTGCCTCTCAGAGATAATTTTTTTAAACTAAATAAAATGTTGCAATGTTCAATAAAATGTTGCACTGGGCTTTGTTCCTGCAGTGGTTGCTGCTGACCTGGATTATCCTCTGGCCCTGAGTGTTCTGAGGCTCCACAGGAGTTTTTTAGCAGCGGATGCAGGAGTGGCTGGAAGTTTGTCAGAGATGGGGAACAGCAGGAGACAGCATTTCCTCACAGAGAAATGCCTGAGAACCCACAGACATTGAGGCTTCCTTGGTAGTGATGTCTGCAACACATGTAGTGATACAGCAGTCTCTGGGGCTTTTTAAAAACTTGAATTTCTTTAATTTTCCATTGATACTCCTGCAGGGATATCAGTGTGTTTGTGTGGGCTCTGGGTCAGTCAGCATCATTACTTCATAAAGGAATGTTTATATGATACAGAAAGTAAAAGTCAATTCAGAACTAACTTTGTCTTTTGTATTTTGGCAGGTTTAAAATAATGGCTGAAGATGGCAGTGAGGAGATTATGTTTATTTGTAAGTATTAGGAAAAGGATCTAATTCTCACTGTGTGTGACTTGTCTACTCAGAATGCTTGAAATTAAAGACTAAACTAGTTTTAAGATTTTATTTAGAAAAATTGCTCTTTGTAAAGGAGGCTCAAACAGCTAATGGGTGAATAGAGAGGAGGCTGTGTAATTTAAGCACACACATTCTGGGGCTGTTTGCAAACCCACAATGAAACCTCTGCATGTGAGTGAGCAGCACAGCTTTTTCATGGCTGAAGTGAGTGAGATTGAAGGTCTAACCCTCATGTAAGCCCTTTGTTTATACAACCAGCTCCAGCAGCCAGGGGTGGCTGGGGATAACTCTGACCTCTGGCCTGCCTTGGGGATCTGCACCTCCACAGCAGGGGCAGCAGACTCATAATTCCTTCAGAACAAGCCCAGTTTGAGATGCACCAGCTGCCCTGGCAGGTTTCACTCGTGGCATTCACTGCCTGTGCTACTTGCTGGGCCCTCTGTGTAACCCTGAGTGCCAGGCTGGGCTCTGGGACTGGATTCTGGGCTCCTGGGGTGCTGCTGGGTGAGGAAAGGCTGCAGCAGGGCTGTGCCCAGGCTGGGCAGTGGCCCATGCTTGCTACAGCTGGGCTGGCAGGCTTGGGTGCCACATTAATCCTCTCCTTTGTCAGCAGCCTGGGCATGCAGGACCTGGTGCCACAGTGGAAAAGAGTTAAGGGATGTAGAGTCCTTGTGTGAGCACACAGGGCCCAGATATTGTGGATCCAGTCAGGGCAGAGCAGAATGGAGCACATCCTTGGGTTTAGGATCCACAGCATTTTACCTCTGATGGTTCCACAGCTGCATTTATGGCAACTGTCAGAAAGCTGAATTTTCTCCCTCCACCAGCTTCCTTCAAAACTAGTGTTGACTGTTTGCCTTTTTACTGGGATGCAGATACCAATAGTGGTTACCTTATCTTCCCCTTCATCAAAGGATTCTGGTGGACAGCAAAAAGAATGGGGATGTGACTCCTAATTAGATAAAAGGTGTCACACAACACGATTTTATCCCTTCCAGTGGGGGCTGTGGTCACTGGGCTTTTTCTTGTGTTTTCTGCAGTTAGTTTTTGCCATGGAATATGGGGACTGTTTATGTTCTGAAAAAGTGAGTTGCTGTATATGACACTGTGCACTCCCAATAATAAACATCCTTGAATATGTATTTCATAGACAAGACAATTTGGAAATTTTTCTTTTTATTAAATGTGTGAATATAGTCTCCCTGGGGTATTTTTTTAATTTTCCCATGCTTGTTTTTGTGTTTCACCAGTGGCTGTAATCTCTTGAAAGTGTCACATATGGTGGGTGTAACAGCTTTGGCTGCTGTAGGGCATCCCTTGGATATTGAGCTGTGCCACACAATGTCTTTGTCATATTCCCCTGGCTTTGGTCATTCCTCTGCAGGGGAGTGAGAGGAATGTGTGCCTTATCCCTGTCTGTAGTTGTGGCCAGTGCTGTCTGCACCTTTCAGAGGCTTATCTTTGCAGAAGTGAGGAATGGCCTGATGCAGTCAGGAGATGAGGGAAAGGACAAAGTGCATTTTTCTTTGGACAGCAAAGCCTATTGAAGAAGCTGTTACTCAGGCTATTCCTTCCTGTCCCCTTGGTTATGACAACCCTTTATGGATGACAGTCCTTTTCTTTTCAGCAGTCAGGTTTACACATTCCTCTGTCATTCCTCTGGAGAGAAATCTGCTTTTGGCCTAGATTATTTCAGTAATATTTTCAGTAACATTTCAGCAGTATTATTCAGCAATATTATTTCAGTAATATTTTTCAGTAATGATTTCAGCAGCCTGGGCTACAGGCACACCTGGAATGGTGGAACAGTGAACAGCTGTAGGCTGAGCTTTGGTGCTGCTGCTCTGTGAGTAGTACTTGCCCATTTTCCTCTGGTACAGCAAGCCAGGCTGGGAAATTCCTTCTGCTGAAAAATCATGTGAAGAGCTGGTTCTTTCATTCCTTGGCTCACCAGAAGGCAGCACAAACAGGAGGCAGTGACCAGGCTTGGGGGCTGCACCAGCCAGAAATGCTGTTTGTCAAATACATGCATTTTTTCACTACTAAGCTGGTTTTGTTGCCAGAAGAAATGTGAAGCAGTTTGAAATCCCTTGTTTTAGAAGTCCTTTTGTTCACTGGGATGGGTAGAATCTTCCAGTTGGGAGCACAAAGTAGCTTTGCCAGAGGGGATATACCTTGGAATGACTTGGCTTTTGTCATGTCTTCCCAAAAAAAAGGTGTAATGACCCTTACATTACACATTTTCTGGGGTTTTCCTGACTTGCCTTTGTAAGCTTGGAGCTCAGATGCAAAAGGCAGCACAGCAATATAACCCCTGTGTGATGATCTCTCCTGAAGCTGTGTCAGCAGCTGACCAGGCAGGGCAGTTTGACAGCTATTTTTTTCACATTGAAGCAGTGTATAAGCATTTGGAATCCTGTTAAGTTAGCTTATTTTAGAAAGCCTCAAATTATCCTCGTCTGAAAATTGTTTCTTAGGAACCACTCAGTTCTGGGTAATTTACAGCCACTTAAACTGAAAGTTAATTTAGCTAAGCTGACAGTGAATTAGATGGCCAGAGTGTGTTGTGCAGCAGCTGACTTGTCTGGAAAGGCACCAAGAGGTACCTTGGAGGTCTCTGTCCTGCCCTGTGGGTGAGAAATGTGTGTGGCCAGGCAGAGCTGGCCCTGCTGGTGCCCTGCTGAGCCCTGTGCCAGTTCTGCTGCTGGTTCTGGGTTTGTGCCTCCTGTCACTGGAAGCACCACACTACCCAAGCTGTTCAGAGCAGCCCAGCTCCTAGGGAAGGCAGTGATGTGGTTTTCTTTAGCTGCTATGTGTTGCAGCACTTCATCTGAAGAATAATGCCTTCTTTAAGCAGAATATTTACTGTGGGTGTAAAGGCATTTATTTGCCTTTGTGAGAGAATTTAAACAATTGTCTTCTGATGGTGCTGATCACAGTGTGTGCTATCTCACCTACACAGGTACCAGCTAACCTCTCAGTGTTCAATTATTTATGTTCTTTTAAGCAATATAAATAAACATCTGCCCCTCTATGTATGTATTTTACCTGGTGCTAGGTTTCTTTTGAAAGAGGGAGGAAACTGTGTTACAAAAGTGTTTTCCACCAACCTTTTCTGTCTGGTTCCTTGCAGGGTGTGAGGACTGTGGGCAGTACCATGATTCAGAGTGTCCTGAGCTGGGCCCAGTGGTGACAGTCAAAGACTCCTTTGTATTGAGCAGGGCAAGGTAAGAAATGTTTGTGTTAATCCTGACTAACTCAATGCTCATATTAGTCCTTTAAAGCATATTTGCTGTTCAGTGGATGTCACGCTGACAGCTGGAAACTGAAGTCCCAGAGGATGACAGAAATCTATGGAAAGCACATGGCCTTGATTAAATAGAAAAATTGATGCACACACTTAAGTGCTGCACTGAATAGAAGCCAAAAAAATAACTTGCTGCTCATCAGGACTCTGTTCCTTTGCTGAGGTTTCTGGCAAGAAGTCAGAGTGGTGCCAGATGGGGTGATGATTTCTGTCATGGTTGAGTACCTGCCCCTTTTATCCCCCTTAGATACACCAGATTCATTTCAGAGAAGTGTGTGAGGATTTCTCATTCATGTGTATGAACTCTCTCATTCTTCCACTTAGAAGCAAAACAAGTTGTTCTCATTATTGTGGGTCTTTGCAAACGATTAGGGGTAATAGTTCTGTCAGCAAATCTGTGACAGCGCAGCAGAAACACTCATGTTTGCCAAAAGAAACAAATAGACTCAATCTAGTTGGGAGAAAACAACACTGAGTAGTGATTTTTACAGGGAAAGACAATCAGGCACTGTCAGCAAAATTCATATTAAGATGCAGAATGTAAAGCTAAGGAAAAGAACCAACTATTGTGAAGGTGTAGTACAGATCCAAAAAGGGAAGTGTTCAGATGGCTTCGTGTGTTATATAATGTGTGCAAGGCTTCCATATTCCTTCTTGGGAAGTCACAGGCAGAAAACAGGCACGTGGGCAGCAAGTCTGGCACATCCTGGCTGTGTAGGTTGTGCTGTGTATTCCCAGCATCATTTTGTACCAAATTCTGATGTGCTGGATCTGCCCCCTGGGTGCCAGGACCCCTTGGCCAGGGCAGGATGCTCCTGGTGTCCCACCAAGTACAGTGGCTGCACCTGTGCAGGAGCTGCCCCTGCTTTTCTTGGCCTTCCCAGAAGAGGAATTTCCCTGCAGTTCCTGCCAGGCATTGCCTTCCTGGGCCTGGAAACCTGCCCTGGGTGATGCCCTGCAGCAGCTGTTAATGGATAACAGCCCTGACACTACAGGTGCTTGAGGGTCATTTAAAAATACCCCTTGGAATAACAGAAGCTGCTGAGGGAGGTGCTTTTATTGTATACAAAAAATGGGGAGTGCAGTAATTCTCTAGCTTGTATTACACACATTCCATGACAAACTACTATTTCCTACATTTTTCTAGTTTTTAATTTGCACTTTCATGTCCAGATGTTCCAACTGGGAATGTTTGCAAATACGGTGCCTGCACTGGTTTTCAATCTCCTTTTGACATGCAAATGCAAAGTGTTCCCTAGTGGAAGTGTGGGCTGCTGGACCATAGACTTGAAAGCAGCATTTTAAATTGATTTTTTACAGCTAAATGTATTTATTTTCCTGAAGAGTTTTCAGCTGAAATCAGGTAAGGTAAGAAAAGGAAAGAAGAAATTTAATTGCAGCCTTTACATCTGGGGAGCAGTAACTGAAAATGAGTTATCTGAGGTTGAGGGCAAGTTTAACCACAAACTGGATATGAATCTTTTAAAAACAGTCTGCTTGCTTAACCACATTTGCTGTTCCCTCTGTCTTACTGAAAAGATCAAATGGATGCTTTATGGTTAGAAAAGAAATGCTGACAAACATCTGCTGAACTTCTCTGTCTCTAACACTGCTTCTTGTATGTTTCAAATTAAAGTATTTTTTCCAATTCATTTGCTTATCACTGTGATTGCAGTCTTTTTGTATTTCTCTTTATCTAGGCAGTAAAGCAGTTCTGCCAGTGTCAGCCTCAGGATAGTCAGTGGCCTGTCTGATTATTTTAGCTTCTCATGCGTTAGCACAGACCTAAAAAAACAGAATTGCATTTGGTTTATAAAACCAATACAGTGGGGCCAGTCTAGTGAATTTTTGGGAAGCTGTTCTCTGTGTGTTATACATAGTAACACTATTTGCTACATGTAGTTTTCTCAGAAGCTTGTTTGGGAAAAGAGAGAAGCTGGGAGCACAGAAGCACTTGAGTTTAATGCTGACTTCTTTATTCCCTGGGTTCCTGCAGTGCATCACTGTTACTGGGTGAGGTGGTGTTCAGCCAAAGGTTGAACTTGCTGATCTTGGAGATCTTTTCCAACCTAATCAGTTCTGTGATCTATTTTTTTTTTCTCAATTCTGTCTTAAATTTTTAGATCATCTCTGCCTTCTAATTTGGAGATAAGACAGCTGGAGGATGGGACTGAGGGAGTGTTTGCTCTGACTCAGCTGGTGAAACGTACCCAGTTTGGCCCCTTTGAATGCAAGAGAGTTCTCAAGCTGGAGAAAGAATCAGTTTTTCCCCTGAAGGTAAGACCCAGAATTCGTAAAGCAATAAATAGCAAGGAGTCAGTTTTACCATTGAGGAATTAATGCTGGCTAACACTATGAAAACAAAGATATGAAGGGAGATTATTTGGAACATCTTTTAGGTGTGCCCTGTAAGAAATGAGCTAAACAAACATTCTCTGGGCAAGGAACAGAAGAACCAAACTAGAAGCTCAGTTCTTTTAATGAGTCTCTTCAGTTTGATTGAATTTGCCTAATGAGCCACATATGCATTAGGTTTATGGAACATGGAGAATAAGTGGGTTTTTTTCTGTCTTGCATTTGTTTTATTCCTCTCTTGAAAAGTTTTGGTAGGAAAAATGCTACATTAAGAATGGAATTCAGTCTTAGTTTCCATTAATACCTAATGCCCTCAGAAGTAAAGATTTAGAAGAGTTCCTTGGGCTGATGGCTATTTGGATACCCTTCCACTCATGTCTGCAGTAAGTTTTTGGGAAGCTGGTGGCTATAGCAAGAATTTTTGGGATGATTTTGTTCAGTTTGTTCCCATCTTGTTCCTGGTTGTCTGTCTCTGAGACAGACAAGGTGTGAACAAGTAAAAGATGAATAAAAAAACCAAAAAGATGAATAATAAATAAAAGATGCCTGATGCAGGACTTGAGGCTTGCTTCGTCCCTGATGCCCATTGAAAAGAAACCACTGCAAAAGCAGAAAATCATTTATTTCCCCTTAACTTCTTATCACTTCTGGTGGTTTTTATTCTGTGAACATTTTGCTTGGCAGGTGTTCCAGAAGGAAGGGCCCCTGGTGTATTTTGACACCACAAACGAAGATGATTGCAACTGGATGATGATGGTGCGCCCAGCCACCGAGTATGAGCACCAAAACCTCACAGCCTTCCAGCATGACAATGACATTTACTTCACCACCTGCCAGGACATCCCCCCAGGAACTGAGCTGAGAGTGTGGTATGCAGCTTTTTACGCCAAAAAAATGGAAAAGCCAGTGCTGAAGCAGGTCACTAGTGTTGCCAATGGTATGTGTGGCGGCCTTTCTTCCTTCCTAAGGGCCCAGTGCTGCCAGGGACTGATAGTCCCTGGCTGTTGGAGTTGACAGTGCTGTTTATCCAGTAGGTTCTTATCCTGCAGAGTCAGGCCAGCCTGCACACGTGGGTGCCCTGCAAGAGGAAAGTGTAGATTCTTCACCATGATACAGCCAGGTTTTTTTAAAACAGGTGGCCTAGTTAATGGGTCAGCCTCTTCAGAGTGGACAGACTGGATAAATAGTCCTTAACTAAAGATTTGGTGTATCAAATCATTTGTATCAAGTAATTTCTGGGTAGAACAGCAAAGGAGCTCAGTTATCAGAGAAATCTGTATACAGATTTGATAAAGAAGCCATTCTTTGGTTGCAGTGAAAATGGCTTGGTTTTGCCCAGAACTGTTACAGAGTTCTAAGAAACTAGATTTCTCTTAAGCAGCCTCACATGGGACCCACTAGAGTAAGATCCATGTGGTTGTGCATTGGAAAGAAAGGCAGCAGATATTTTAGAATCTGAATTAGAATTGCCACAAGTTCCAGTGTTTTCCCCTTTGTTTTCTCCTACTTTTCCATTTCTACAGCTGAAAGGCAAGATCCTTTGACATTGCAAGGGTGTTTTCTTCCTGCTCTTGAGCTGGGAGTACTCCCTGGATGTTATTACTGCTCTGCTGGGTATAATTTGGGGTGACAAATTTGGGAAGAAGCCATTGCCACCAGCTTTATGGCTGCCCTTGATCCTAAGCAGAGTCTCAAGTGCTACAGCTGAATCAATGCAGCTGACATGTTTCTGAGCTCTGAGCTGTTTCCAGTTGGTATTAACTGAGAGGTTTCATATTTTCCCTCTTTAATTTAACCTATTCATGCATTATTTTTCTGGGGTTATGGGTATTTAAAAATACTGTTGAAGTATACCCTGCACTCTGTTCAGCACTTCATGGTACACTCCAGAATATTTAAGGCACAGTGGGTGAGAATCAGCTGTAAGAATGCCCTGGTTAAAATTTTCCATGAGAATGTGATTTGCAGGCCTGTTGCAGAATAAAACTTTGACTGTTGTTACTGCCCTCAGCACAGAGCAAGAGTCAAAGGGTCTGGGCAGTAAAGATGAACTCTTTTTCTTCTTCACAGATACATCCTTGGCAACAATGGAGTCTGATAAAGAGGGGAATAATAAGGTCTCTTCAAAACCTTCATCTGCTGTCTTACCCCATAAAAAAAACAAGAAATCCAGCATATTAGCACCTGATCCAGCAGGTATGCAAAATTACAGTGCTCTTAAGGAAGATAGAGGACAGATACAGGTCTGTAGAGCTGTTAGGTGTAACACTCCTGCATGTGTATTATGGATAGATAACTTCTGGCAAATACTAATTTAGAGAGGATTTGAAAGCCTGATTTTTTCTTTTCATTTTCATGGGCACAGTGCTTAAAGAACATATGCAGGTTAAAAAGTGGTAGAGGGGGGCAATAAACTTTTAGGCAGATTATTTTCATGAAAACCTCAAGTGCTCCTGACTTTGGAGGTGGTTTGTGTTGGGATGGGGGTAATCCTCAAGAAAATCTTCATTCTGCCTTTGCAAAGTGTAGTAATTCAAGTGATCAGACCAAGCTCTAGAAGAAAACATTTCAAATATTTGGAAATGACAAGAACATTGGTCATCCTCAAATTACAACAATACCACAGGATATGCCACTGTTAGAGCTCAAACTGTTCTAAATTACAGAAACTAGATTTTCAATAAACTTATAAGCAATACATATCCTCTTGGTAAAGAACACATGGCTGAGGAAATATCTGGTAGTGTCATAGGAACTCTGTCCCAAGGATTCCTTACAAAGCAGTGCTCCCCTCACCCAGTCTCTGCAAAGTGCAACAGTGAAATTAAGAACCCACTTAACACAAATCTCAAAAATTGCACTCAGAGTACACAAGATCAAAAGAAAACCATTCTAGGTCTGCTCTTTGAGGAGTTATTTTCCTAAACTTTGCTTATTAGAAGTAGCTGGCAGGAAAGGAGGGGAGTTGTTGCAGACACGTTCAGAGCAGCTGATCAGAGAGGCTCCATTTGTCAGCTTGGGTTCTGTCACAGCTAAGGTGACTGAGGAGTTGTCTTTCAGTTTGGCATTATTGATTTTTCCAGAGGTAAAATGAATTGGAACAGTCCCTCCTACATCCTTCACCCTCCTGCCTGAAAGTCCAACTTCAGTAGAAACAAAAAGCTGCCTTTTATATTTTGGGAACTCTGAGGTTTTCCCACTGATTTGGTGCTTCCAAAACAAAATTTTCTTCTTTTGATTTTGTTTGCCTCAAGTCATATACCTCAAGCAGTTGCCAGCTTGTCAGATGTGTGGTTCTAAGTCAGCCAGGTTGCCCTGCAGCTGTCCTGGAAGCCTGAGGAAGCGGGAACTTAAGAAGGACCTGACTCTTCCTGACAAACCAGTACAAGGAGCAGCTAAGGAGCAAGGGAGGTGCAGAGTCAGGCACAATTAACTCACACAGAATCTTGGTTTGCTGCTTTTGTCCTCGTGGACAGAGCCCTCAAGAAGTTCTTTATGTAGCCTGTGAAGAGGGAATTTTTGTTGCTGTATTGCCAAGTGATTTCTTACTAATTTATTTATTGCAGCATGGATGAGATCACACCTCTGTAGTGTAGTGTTGAATGTATCTCCTGTAGCAGGAAACAGTCTCTGCCTCAGAGAATCCTTTATTTTGGTTCAAGAGCCAACACTGAAAAGAAGGAAGAACTTTTCTGTCCCTTTACAGATGGGGTCCTCAGGCAGAGAGAGATGAGCTGGCATGTAATGACCATCTGGGAAATCTGTGGCAGAAACTGAGGCACAATTTGAATTCCCTGTGCTGCCATTCACTTACTCTGACTTCAGTGCCATCCTCCTCCTCTGCAGAAGGAGTGTTACTCAGCTTTTTGTGTGCCAAAAAAAAATCTCTGAATCAATCCAGATTTATCAGATCCTCTTGAGAAATTCAAATATATCATCTAAGGACTGAAATACAAAGGACTGTCAACGGAGTTACTCTTCCTGTTTTATTTTTTTTTTATTCCAGTTTCATTTTTGCCCTAATTTCTTCACCGTTCTTGAGTTGATGTGTTAATTAAAGTATTAGTATGGTGATTTCATAGCACATCTAATTAATGGAACTGCTGAAACCTGGGTTTCCATTGTCCTCACCCTTACTTCCATTAATCCAAATGTTCTTACTCTGCAATGCCCTTCACTGAGGTTTGTCCTGCTTCTGTCCTCAGCTAATCCATAAGAAGACTGGTAACTCTGGTTTTAAAGGTGCTAAAAATTGCTTTATGCCATGCCCTTTCACAACACAATTCTTTAGAAAGTGATAAAGGAGCCCTCAGGATTTTACAAGGGCACTGATAACTCTCTCCTGGCATCATTTTTATCTTCCAATAGTTCAACTCTTCATGAACCTGAATCCTGAAATGGTCCCAGCTGCCTCCAGGGGCCTCTTGCTGCTTAAATTGTACCTTGTGATACTCAGGGAGTTACTGCAAGATAAACAAAGCTACAGGGGTTTACCACCTCCCCGTTTTCAGAGTATTTCAGTATTTCTTGTTGTGATTTAGTGAACACTCCAGAAGGCAGTGGAACAGCAGAAGCAAAGCCCAACCAGTGGACGTGTAAAGTGTGTTCATCTGCTTTCCAAGAGCCCCAGCTGCTGACAGGTAGGAAGTGCTAGAAATTCATGGGAGAGCACTGAGAATCATCAGCAGAATTCTGCTCTCCCATGGCTGTGAAGCCATGCACCACCCATGGTGCACTAAGATAAAAGTTTTAAATTTTGTGTTCCTTTAAGGAAAGCAGTAGTAGGGAAGGTAGAACAAGGATATTTTGACCATGGCAGTGTTCTGTCTCTGGACAAACAGCTGTAATGTTGAATCTAGAAGAAATAAAACTGTGATCTAGAAGATGGTGTGACTGTCAGGAAAATCAAGGATAGGGAGCTGCATGAGCAGTGTAAAGGTCAGTGATGCCAGGTTATACTTTGTGATATTGTCCATCTGGTATTTATGGCACAGCTTTAGTAAGGGTAATGAAGTACATATTTTTTTTTCTGCATTTCATTTGCAGCTATTTTTTGCAGTTTTTCAGAAGAGCTTAAAATTATTTAGGAGCTTTGACCATTTGCTGGATGTTTTTTGAAAAGGGGACTTAGGTCAGTAAATAACTTGGGCGTTTGGAAAAATGTATCCATTATTAGAAACACAAACTTTTTACTGTGATATCAATAAATCTCCTTAAAAATTCAGTTCTTGGGACTGTTGAATAAACTGTAGGCTTTGATTTGTGAAGGTATTGTGACTGCTTTTGAAATAATTTGAAGCAAGTCACTGCAAAGTGAAATGGACCTGATAGATGGGCTTCATCTAGTTCCATTTGAGTATTTTAAGGATAATTTCCTCCTTACTCTCCTGTTCTTCCTTATCCACCCAGAGCACTTGCTGAGTCACCTGGAACAAGCCAAAGGTGCCTCCCCAAGCAGCCAAAATGATGCTGAGAAAGCAGAGAAAGCAGCAGAGGCTGTGCCAGCAGATCAGCCAGTGGCAAGTGATACAGCCAGTGCCAGCACAGACTCGAGGAGAAAGGCCAGGAGGGGAAGAAAAGCCAAAACAGCAAAAGTAGAAACACCTCTTGTCATTGATGAAGAGAAAGGTCCTGCAGGTAAAACAGAAATCTAGAAAATGCTAAGCAATATATCTGCTTATACATCTGTGATGATGCCTTTGCAGAAAGGCCTAAAAAGCAGCAGAGGCAAGATGGAGATTTTTAGTTAGATCACTAAAGCTGCCAATTTCCAAGTTTTGTTAGTTATTTCTGAAGGCCTTGAAGGCAGCACCTGCAGCCATTCACCTGCCTTCTTCTGTGATGGTTTGTAGAGAGCCCCAGGGAAGCACAGGGTGTGAGAACTGCAAGAAGAAACAGGAGAGGAAGCATCCTTCCTCCCAAGAGGACAAATCTTTCTCTCTCTCCCTTGAGTTCAGTTTAGAAAGGGCTTTACCCTCCTTGAAGGGATGTTCTAATAGGAAATTTCATGATGCTTGGTCAGCTGACCCTTCAGTAATAGCTTGGAAAGGTAAGAAGTTAGAAAAAGGTGAGATGTCCCTGCCCATGGCAGGGGATTGGATTTGATTTTTAACAATCCCTTCCAACCCACACTGTTCTATGATTCTTTGAATGTGTTTGTGGACAATTGATTTGTCCAGTGCCACCCCTTATTACAAATCCTGCATTTGAGGTTTTGCTTGCAGCTGTCCCCATGACTGCTGTGTTTATTTCTTTGGTGTGTGTGCAGTGGAACGTGTGGCTGACGCTGTCCCTGAGGTCCCTCCAGAGGAGGTGGCCCTGCCCCCAGCTCCAGAAGAGAGCATCATGGATCTGGTTTTAGGAAAGATGCCCAGCACCACAAACAGCATCAGCTCAGTGACAAAGTAAGTGTTCTGGGATGCACAATTTCCTCTTACTTGGATCTAAGATGATGTGGCATGCAACAGTTCTGCTCAACTTCTGGGTGCACAGATGCTCTTTTTTATCAGCATAAAATTGTGTGATGCTGCTGCTGCTGCTGCTTCAAGAGGTGATTTTGAGTGCCACTTGTACACTGGTAGGATTTTGGAGCATAACATAAATGAAAATTTCCTTTTTTCATCATGTTATTGCTTTTATTCTGTGTTACCAAAAGCCTCCTGCAGCTGCAAGGTGAAATTTACTCCCATTGAATGTTAGTGATAAGACAGGCGAAGAGATTTTTTCTTTCAGAATATGTTAATAATTTTTATTATTATTCAGTCTTGCTTGTTATCTTAGCTCATGAATGACTTCATGTTGATTTTGCTGTGATACTCCAGATTTGGAGCAGTAGGAGGGGAAAACTTCAGTATAACAGAACCTCAGGGAGACTCTTAAGTATCACATGATTAATTCAGATTCTTTAATGTCTTTTTGTCTTGGTAAAATTGGCCTTTTGAATTGTTTTTTGGGTTTTTTTTTGTATAATAGAGCACTCAGTTTTTATAAATTGGCTGGTAATGGTATATATTGAAGTCCTTAGCAGACACAGAGCCATCAAGAGTCATTTCAGCAGGTGGTTGTGCTGGGAAATGGCACAGTGCTGCTTGGCAGCCTGCTGCCCTCTGCCCAAATACAGCTTTGATGTGGGGGCTGCCAAGCTTCCTAAGCTGAGCTAGTGCTGATGTTTTCAGAGCAGAACAGACCCTTTCTGTTCCTCTGAGGGGCCTGCAAAGAGAATCTCTGCTGCTGCTTTTTGCCTCTATGGTTCTGGGTGAAGAAAATTTGGAATGAGTGACATCTGCAGCTTCCAGGGGGTGGCCAGGGGAGCACCTTGGAGCTGGGGAAGCTCCATCCAGGCCCCCTCCCTCCTGCCAGGAGCTGAGTTTTTAACACTCCTCTAGTTTTTACTAGCTCTGTTGCAACCTTTGGGCTAGCTTTCAGTCCCTGCCTTTCTCTCTAATCCAGTAGGTTTGCTCATCACCAAAACACCATGTCCCTCAAAAGAAGTTTCATTCTCTCCAGTAGACACGGGATTCGGCGGAAGCTGATAAAGCAGCTGGGGGAGCACAAGAGGGTCTATCAGTGCAGCATCTGCAGTAAGATCTTCCAGAACAGCAGCAACCTCAGCAGGCACATCCGTTCTCATGGTGGGTTGGCTTTTCCCTTGCCTAGAATTGATTTTATGTCTTGATTTTCATTGATTTTATGTCTTGGTTCCACCTTTGAGTTAAAACGAGCAGGGCTCGTTTTAGGGATTGGGATATGTATTTATAAGAGAGCTGGTTTTGCTTTTTTCTTTCTTTTAAGTCTCTCTAGGAAACTTAATTTTTTTAGACCAAAGCATGAGAAGATATCTGTTCTGAGATATAGAAGATATCTATCTATCTATCTATCTATCTATCTATCTATCTATCTATCTATCTAATCTATCTTTGTTAGCTATTGCAATAGATAATGCAGAATTGAAGTTGAAAGTATTTAAAATTTGAATTAGGTACATCTTTTAAATGAGGGCAAGGATGTGATGTTTTTTCCAAAGCTTTTATTGCCTTTAAATTGATACATAAATATCACCCCCACCTTCACAGGCACGTGGGTAACATGGCTGTGTAAGTGTCAGGTGTTTTTCCACCTGTGATTTGCAGTTTCAGGGGTCTGTGTCCTATTCTAAGGGTTCTATGAAAAATCATCACTGAAAGAGGGTGGGGGAACTAAACCAAAATTGTTGGAAATGGTTAAAATCCACTGGTTAGATCTGCTGAAATACTAAATTTTTCATCACCAGCCTATGTGTTTGCAGTTGCTTGTGCTTTGGTTTCCCCTGCCTTGCCTGGAGTTGGTTATTATCAATCACTGACTATTTCCCTTTCATCTTGATTGACCCCCTCAGGTGACAAACTGTTTAAATGTGAGGAATGTGCAAAGCTGTTCAGCAGGAAGGAGAGCTTGAAGCAGCACGTTTCATACAAGCACAGCAGGAATGAAGTGAGTGGAAGGGGCTCTTGCAGGGTTTCTGTGCAAAGGCACAGTGAGATTCCAGGTGTGAGCGTGCCCTGCTCATGTGAGCAGGTATCCCATGGGAGTGAGAAAGGACAGAGAGGGGATGGTAACATCTTATCTTACAATAATTGATGGATTTGAAAAATGCTTTTGAGCATATGCAAACCCTTTTTCTATAGAAAATTGCTTTCAGGCATCAATTCCAGCAAAACGAGCTGGAAATTAGCTGGACCTGCATGATACAGAGGTGAGATCTGACTTGAGTTATGCTGCTAAATAGGGTTGTTACATTCTTATTTGCTTGTCCTGTTTGATTTCTCCCCACTTTTCATTCCTTTAATGTATGAACTCTGCCTTTTTATGCTGCTGCCATAGAAATATTAAACCCACCTGTAGTGGCACCTTATTAGTGACAATTTCCATTGTTACTTGGCACCAGGGTCCTTAACTCTCAGATTGCTGCCACCTCTTCTGGAAGATGAGTCAGATCACATCTTGCTTCTCAAACCTTCTGTGTCTGTGTTGGACCAGATGTTCCACATCCACACAGGAGCATAGTTTTTGGGGTTTTTTATAGCTCAGATGTAGGAGCATGGCAGGATGATACAGCATCAGAATTTTGCACCACTGTGTAGATAAATGCCCTCTTGAAGGATTAGAAATTGGAAAGGACAGAAAACAGAGGAGGTGTTTGAGGTTTAGAATTTCTCTGTCAGATGTGACTTGGCTTTTCCTGGTTGTGATCCTCAGGTGGACAGTGAGTACAGATACAAGTGCACCACGTGTGAAAAGGCCTTTCGGATAGAGAGTGCATTGGAATTCCACAACTGCAGGACAGGTGAGCATGGATAACTCTTCCTCTGGCATCTCTGCTGCATTCTGGGAAGATGTCCCCAAATCCATCTCAGCAGAGAAACTACAGAAGGGGAGTAGGGATTTAGGTTTTTGTCATCATCCTGGGTTTTTGATAAGAAAAGTGTAACCAGTGATCTGTAGAGCAACACATCCACTTAGGAATTGGGATTTTTTAATATCTTCTGCTCACCTGTGGAATATCCTGACTGGTATTTCCTTTGTTTACAGATAATCTCTGTTTAACTTTTTTCCCTAAAACTAAATTCCACCTCACTCCTCTGAAACAGAGGAACTGGGTACAGGACCAGTATTAGTGGTAATTAGTAGTTTTTTGGGATTGCAGTTTTCTTCAGCTTTCTTCAGCTTTATACTTTCAGTAGTCTCTAAATGTTTTTTTCTTAGTATCACTCCAACCTGTGCTTTTTTCCCATCGCCATCCCTTGTGGTTACTCATATTATTTCTGCTGTGATCTTATGCTCAAAAAATGCCATCCTGGTTACTTTTATGGCTCCACAATAGTGTTCAGTCCAGAATCACACAGGTAATTGCCCTTGGAGCATAGTGATGGATTCCATGTTTAAAACCCAGATCCAACAGAGGAACCACCTGTCTCACAAACAAAAGCTGTTTTCAGCTCTACAAAAGCTCTACAAAAGCTGTTTTCAGCTCTAAAGAGCTGCATGCTTTCTCTTGCTTACAGATGACAAGACATTCCAGTGTGAGATGTGTTTCAGATTCTTCTCTACAAACAGCAACCTTTCAAAACACAAGAAAAAGCATGGGGATAAGAAGTTTGCATGTGAGATCTGCAATAAGATGTTCTACAGGAAGGATGTCATGCTGGACCATCAGAGGCGGCACTTGGAAGGTAAATTTCCTGCAGATCAACCTAATTATTTCTCCTGAAACAGCAGTGGAGGTGGGCAGGTTAAGGAAATCATAGTGTGCATTAGATCTTCTTGAATGGTGGCTGTCTTTTTATTAATCAGTTACCTGATCAAGAGTTTCAAGTTTCAGCAAAATGTTACATTTATGAAAAATAGCAGTAGTGGGTCCAGAGCTATTAAGAGTCATGTGAAAGCAGCATGGCTTATTATGCAGCAGTTTGGACTGGCTGATTTTAATTTTTTTTTCTTTCTTTGCACCCTATTCTTCTTTTTTTAAAATTTGTGTGGTAACTTGAAAATCTGAAGGCAGAGAGTTAACTTGCTGAGAGTGACTACTACATAAATACAGTGTCAGCATGTTATCTTTGAAACACTTGAGAATATATGAAAATGAGATTATGAGAGTTAGCTATTAAAAATCTCAAGCATCTGAGGATATTATAGGTACTCAAAGACTGGAAAAAGTTGGTACATTGCTCAACTTGTATTAAAATGTGGTTAGTGACTTAGATGATAAAACCAAAAATGATTAAAAAAAAAAAAGCAGCCAGATTGTTTATTTTGTGTCCTGAACCAGAGGACAAGGGGCTGTAAGACACTGGAAGTGTCTCATTTTCAGCTGTCACAGAAGAGCAGGAGCCCTCTGCCCTCCTGAAAGTAGCAGAGAAAGAGGTCTGAAATCCTCTCTGAGCATTACAGCTGATGCTGGATGGTTCATCTCTCCTTAGAGACTTCCTCTCCTCTCTTTCTTAGTGAGGGTGAATTTCTGGGCCAGATCCAGATTGAAGTGCCAAGGCCTACTAGATCTGCCTCTTTCCTGGTGTTGACAAAAATGTTTTTGACAAAAGCGTTTTCTGTCACTTTGCAGTTGCTTTCATAACCAATAACCCATAACACATCACTCTGGCAGACTGCTTCTATATTCTTAAAACACATTTTAATTCAGAAATCACCCTTTTGTTAGCAATTCAATCCTGCAATGAGGGTTTCACTCTTCTTCCCAGTCTCCTTGTGAGCAGGCCTGCAGGCTGGAGTGGAAAGCCATGGTTTATTTCTTGTTTTGTTTTTTTTTTGATGGGGACTGCTGTGTTAAGGGGTGAGGCGTGTGAAGAGAGAAGACTTTGAGCACAGCACGGAGAGCATGGTTCGCTACAAGAAGGAGCCCTCGGGCTGCCCCGTGTGTGGGAAGGTAGGAGCTTGTGCCAGTGTGCCATGAGAGGCTCTGCATTGTGGCTCCAGGGTGCTGCAGTTCAGCCCAGAGAGGAGAAAACTGAGGGGATCCATCCATACATTTAAATCTCTCCAAGGGGTGTCAGAGCATGGTGCCAGACTCTTTTCGGTGGTGCTAAACTGTGGTATTCACATTCTCTGAACAGAGAGTGACATAATTTCTCTCTAGAGAAACACAGAGAGAATAGAGGTAAGAATTGTTTTCTCTTCTTCTCTCTGTGCTTCTTCAGGCAAAATCCTGGGGGAGAGAATTATGTCCCTCTGTTCAGAGAATGTGAGTATCACACTCAGCAATGGCACGAGGAGCAGCGGCCATAAAGCAAAATACAACAAATTCCACCTCAGCATGGGGAAGAAATTCCTCACACTGAGGGTGGCAGAGCTCTGGAACAGCTGCCCATGTAGGCTGTGGAGTCCAGTCAGGATATTCCTCTTCAAACACCTGTAGCTCCATTATTTATTCAAGCCCACCATAGCCATGGATGGTGGGAGCTTTTAGCACAGGGATGAGAGCAAAAGTGCATTTCAGGCTTGAACTTTCCTCAGGACACTCAGCACAATGCAGAGTGTCACATGGCCACTGTGTGTGTCAGTGGAATCTCATGGCTTATATTACATAAAATGGAGTTTTTCTGGCTGGTTGTAAACAGCTGGAGTTGACTGTGTTGACTGCAGCACAATGGAGAGTGTCACATGGCCACTGTGTGTGTCAGTGGGATCTCATGGCTTATGTTATTTAAAATAAAGTTTTTCTGGCTGGTTGTAAACAGCTGGAGTTAACACTGGGAATCCTTTTCCATGGGGAATAAAACTGAATTCATGGTGTAGTCATGGCATGGTTGCATTTGAATGTTCAACACTCATGATCATAAGTCACTGTTGTCACAAGGAGTGTGGGTTAACTTGTGATTTTATAAATGTTTAATGATTCATGGTGCAAAAGGCACTCAAGAACTCTTCAGCTGATCTTCAGACCTCTGATTTTGATGCTTTGGTTATGTTTCATATCAGTCAAGGTAGATTTTGTGGCTATATCTTTTTAGAGATAGATGGAACATTGATGATTCAAAAGACACTGTCTAACTATTTCAAATTCTACTCTGTATAATTCTGCTGTAGCCTTTTTTTGGAAGTCCACCCCTGACAAATGGCTAGTTTCAGTCAGTTCCTTGGAACTCTGCCCCTGGATTTTGCCATGCCAGCAGTTCTGAGGCAGACTGCTAACAGGAGCTCCTGCATGTTTCTGGCCAGAAGGAATAAAAAAAGACAGTAAATGTGACAGTAAATGTGTTCTGTGCTCAGCACTGGGTAGGTATCAAAGAACTGTAGCCCAGCTGGACATGATCCAAAAATCCTTCCTTCTCTTTTCCTTTTAGGTATTTTCATGTAGGAGCAACATGAACAAACACCTTCTAACACATGGAGACAAGAAATACACCTGTGAGATCTGTGGACGTAAATTTTTCAGGGTGGATGTGCTGAGAGATCATATTCATGTCCATTTTAAGGTATTGTGTTAATAATCAGATTGTTTTGTCAACACTGAATTGTAAGGAATGAAATGAAATTAAAAGGGAATTGTATCATTCAGTGGTGCTGATAAAGATGCTTTTATTGATGTAATATTGTACCAGCTGAGTGTCTTTATATTAAAATTCCTTTTATATGCAGAAAAATTAAAATTACTTGTTTGAATAAGTTATCCCTTATATGGACAGAGAAACTCTGGATTGAGTGAAGCAGGAGGATATTCAAAATAAATAATATTACAGCAGTTAATGCAAAGCTTCCTTTGCATGGAAGCAAAAGGTGACCAGGCCTTACTTTTTGAAGAAGTTGAATCTATTAAAACAAAATATTCTTTCCCTTTACTTTACACAGGACATAGCCCTAATGGATGATCACCAGAGGGAAGAGTTCATTGGTAAAATTGGAATCTCATCAGAGGAAAACGATGACAACTCTGATGAAAGTGCAGATTTAGAGCCTCACAAGTATAGCTGCAAAAGGTGCCAGGTAGCTTTAAATACTTTCAAATTAACTTGTTTTGGGATGGGGGAGGGAGTGGAGGAATTTATAAATAATTCAGAATATTAAATAACATTAAAGCTCTCAGAGAGAAGGCAAGTTCTCAGGTCTGCTGTCTTCTGCAGTGCTGTTACCTCTGCTCTGTGAACTGAGGCTCAGTTCCATAAGAACTGAGGTGGTGTCCAGCAAGGGGGATGATAAACACTAAAAAAAGGAAAGACAGACACATTCACTTTTTCCTGTGAGGAAGAAAACAAGCAAAACTGGAGGAAGGATCAATAAAGGAGCACTCACATCTCAAACTACCTTTCAGTTATGTGCAACTTTAAATGGTGGCAGCATTTCTGATTGATAGAGTCCACAAATTGATTAATTTTTATCAGGTCAGAAGGTTCTTTTGTGGATATCCAGTTTGGAGGAGTAAGACTGCTGCTTGTGTTCAGAGTGACAGTTTATTTTCACCCTGCTCCATTACAAACAGGATGGTGTTGGAAGTGCTGCTGGAATGGAATTCACTCAGTTGTCAGCTGGGAGAGGAAGATTTTTTTAAACCTCTCACTGTGAGGCTTTTCCCATTTTCTAAAGAAATAATGGGTCCTTAAGGACTCTGTGCCCTCCCCAGGTGAGCACACTGTGCTGGGGCAGGTGGGGTGCAAAACCACTCACTGAGAACAGCAAAACTGACACAGGGACAGGGGATTTTTGGTTGTTCAGCCACTGAATTGACCCTGGAAATCAGAGCTTATTTCACAGCCCACACTTAATGTGGTGAAAGGTCTTAATTTACCTTCATTTTAAACCCTGGAGATAATAATATTTCAGTTTTCTTATCTGGCACATGGTTTTCAGAGCAAACTGATTTTAATTTTGTGTCAGTAAATATGTGAAGTTGTGGTGCCACAGCAGTTCATCATGTTCTTGCTTTCACTGTGCTGATTTTCTTGCCTGACATTTCATGGGTACATAAACTATATAAAATTGTGTGCTTCCAAGTGAGGGCAGTTCAGCCATTCAAATCAGAAAGATCTTTTTGGAAATTGAAGGGTTTTTAGTGCTTTTGCAGGTGTTTGTGTAGTAAACAGTTGTGTAAAGGCACAGCTGTGGGAAATGGGATTTGATGTGAGGAGATGGGGACACTGAACAGCCAAAGGGAGAAGAAATGCAAGTAACTCCTGGACAGATCTCTCTTCTGAGCTCTTAAAAAATCTGGTTTAGTTGGTGTCAAAGTACACCTTCACCAAGCTGTGCAGTGCTGTTAGAAATGCCCTGCCTAGTTCCAGAATTGGAGCAAAAGGCCATGTCATTATGGCACATCACCCTGGCATGCTGGAGACATCTGGATGTGCACATCTGGAGCTCAGCAGTGCAGCACCTGTCTGTTGTAGCTGCAGCCCCTCCAGAGCTGAGCCAGAGTCACTGCCCTGCAGTGCCTGGAGATTCCAGCCCTTCAGGAGCTGCTGCCAAAGCTCCATGCCCCCAGAGCCCAGGAGGCATTTCCTCCATCTGTGATCTCTTCAATCTTACAGAATCACAGAATAATCTGAGCTGGAAGGGACCCTCAGGGCTCACTGAGTCCAGTTCTTGGCTGTGTGCAGCCCCTGGAATCCCCCCATGTGCCTGAGAGTGTCCAAACACTCCCTGAGCTCTGTCTCGCTGCAGTGACCAGAACCTGGGGAGCCTGCTCAGTACCCAGCCATCCTCTAGGGGAAGAACCTTTTCCTAATACCCAACCTAAACCTGCCCTGACACAACTTCAGGCCATTTCCCCAAGTTCTGTCACTGTCCCCACAGAGCAGAGATCAGTGCCTGCCCCTCACAAGGAGCTGTGGCTGCAGTGAGGTCTCCCCTCAGCCTCCCCTTCTCCAGGCTGAACAGACCAAGTGCCCTCAGTGGCTCTCACAAAACTTCCCCTGCAGACCCTTTACCATCTCTGTAGCTCTCTGGACATTCTCCAGTAGTTTTAATATCACCCCTATACTGTGGTGACCAAAACTGCTCACTGTAGTCAAGGTGAGCTGGTGCAGGTTAAACCTGGCTGTTCCTCAGTGCATGAGCAACTCAAGGTCTTCTTCTTGTGCAGAAGTGGAGACACCATCTCCATCCAGAGAAATTGAGTCAATTGATGTCCTGTAGCAGCGTGCTTGTAATGTCCAAAGAGTTTCAGGCCTAAACCCTGCTGTCACAGGTTTTTCATCCAGTGGCATACAGGATTTTAGTGCTACACAGGATATTTATTTCTGCTTGATGTTACCCACTCATTGCTGTGCCCGAGGACATTTTTCCCCCTTCCATTCACTATTGGTTCATTCCCCAGCTGACCTTTGGCAGAGGGAAGGAGTACCTGAAGCACATCATGGACGTGCACAAGGAGAAGGGTTATGGCTGCAGCATCTGCAACCGGCGCTTCGCCTTGAAGGCCACGTACCACGCGCACATGGTCATCCACAGGGAGAACCTGCCCGACCCCAACGTGCAGAAGTAAGAGTGAGAAGAGCTGCCTGCTTGGAGTTCTAATGGTTCTGCCTCCTGGGGTGCTCTTAGGGAATTTGGCTGTGCTAAAATAACTGTGAAATTTGGGTAAAAATGTTCATTATGAGCTTGAAATGTGTGCCGCTGGTGATTGGCTTCACACGGGTCAATGAGTCAGCAGCCCCCCAGTCTGGGCTTTGCAAAGTGTGAATCAGTGATTTTAATAAATAGTTCTGAAAAAAATTTGAGTGTATAACAATGCCAGACTGCTCCAAGCTTGCAGTTAACCTGGGGGTTTCTTAAGGCTCATTTAGAAAAACTTGTGCTTCAAGGAACTTTTGGAGTAATTAGTATTAGCAAATGAAATACACTCAGTGACAGAGATGCCTGAGAATCACCTCTGCCTCGAGAGAAAAATCACAGTTTTTGGTCTCTTTGGTTTCAGATACATCCATCCATGTGAAATCTGTGGCAGGATTTTTAACAGTATAGGAAATCTGGAAAGACATAAGCTTATACATACAGGTAAAAATGTTGTTTCTTTATAATTATCAATATCAAAGAGAAATTCCTGTTGCCAGTGCCTGCCTTTTTTTTTTTTTTTTTCTGCTAGAGGATTTTCGCTCTATGTTACGACAAGACAAATATAATATTTATTCTTTTAGAGTAAACCAGTTTTCTAAAGCAGGGAATATTAATGAAGAGATTTGATCTGGACACACAGTCCAAATTCCTAGTTAATATGTTTGCAGGATTCACCTAATTCTGTATTCTGTTCTTCCCCAAATTCTTATCCATGCCACCTTCTCACCATTACACAGGCTGAAACCTGCTATTGCAAAATCATAACAGCTCATTACTATTTCATGCTATGCAGTCTTCTCCTACCTCAGGCTCCATCTGTTTTTTCTCACACAAAAAGCCAGCTTTTCTCTCTCTTCAAAGTCTTCTAATTTACTTTGGGCTACAATATCCATGAAAGGTGTGCTTGTCAGCATAGGTGGGTTGTTGCCCTCTAATTCACCACTTTAATCAGTTTTTAGGAGATGCACATTACTCATTAACATTTTTTTTTGTTTATGTTGTCTTTTAAATTTATTTTCAAGGTGTAAAAAGTCATGCTTGTGAGCAATGTGGCAAATCATTTGCTAGAAAAGACATGTTAAAAGAACATATGCGAGTCCATGATAATATCCGAGAATACTTGTGTGCAGAGTGTGGCAAAGGTATGTCTGCTGCCTTGTTTTCCATTCACTGTGATACTGAGTAGCAGGTGAATATCTGAATTAAAACAACTGCCATGCTGAGAGTAGTGGCAGTGCTGTAAATCCTGCATTTTTGAGAGGTAGAAAATGTATTAATCAGCAGCATTGTTACATGAGCTGCCCTAATTTTGTACAGTTTGGTTTCATGGGCTATAACACAACACTGATTTTAGTAGAATTTGTTTCTGTCAGGTTGAAGAATGCCTGATTTGCAGCACAAAAGAAAATGCAAGTTGATCTTTTCATTGTAGGCTTTTTACAGGCTTCCAAGTGAGGGCAGTTCAGAAATTACTCTAAAAAATAGAGTAATTTCTCTCTGTAAGAGCCCTAAGAGTCAAAGTCACTTTGACTTCTTTAATTTCTCATGTTATAACTTGAACAAATCTGAGCTGGTATTTTAGTGAAAGACAGTAATAAGTCTGACACCTCTAAGGATGTTTTATCTTTGCTTGTCCCTGCTGTTTCTCTATCAGTGATTACTCAGATTTTTTCCAGAGCTTTTTTTCTGGAATTAAAATAATAATGATGAAATGCATTGCTACGTAAACAATTAAAAATATACAACTGTGGACTTGCAGCAAATATAAAATAGAACTGTTGGTTATCAACATGAGCCTGATTTCTCCCCTGAAGGTGGGAGTGATGGACTAAGTGTCCTGTGCCTTCTGCCTCACAGGAATGAAGACAAAACATGCTCTTCGTCACCACATGAAGCTGCACAAGGGGATTAAGGAATATGAGTGCAAGGAATGTCACCGAAAGTTTGCACAGAAAGTCAACATGCTGAAACATTACAAGAGACACACAGGTGAGAGCTCCAGAGATGGACAAAAGTTGCAGTGAATCAATTAAATCTTTCCCAGGAGAATTCTTACCTAGAGCAGTCAGACAGTATGAGAAAAATTAATAAAATATGTATGTTCTGCTCTTTGAAAAGTGAGATTTTTCCTGTCCTCAGCTAGGACCCCTTGTTCTAGAAATAAATGCAGATTAATTGGTATCAAGTTTTGCTTTTTTTTAAAGGTTCTTGGTCTAGAGTAGCTCTGCAGTGTTGGGGATTTAAATTAGTGTTCAGGTTGTGATTTCCCAAAACAAAGTTTTACTTCCCACATCAGTTTCTCTGATATTTATTTTCTGCTGGATATAGTGGAATGGTTCAGCTAAAAGTAGCTGGTGAAGGTAGGCTTCAGCCTTTTTTTTTTTTTTGTTGTCTGTGATTTTTATTTTTTTAATGTTACTAATAAAAAACTCAGAATTGTCCCAGATACCTTTAGGCTGCTTTCACAGGTGCCAAATGTGCTTTTCATGCAGGAATCAAAGATTTCATGTGTGAGCTCTGTGGCAAGACCTTCAGCGAGAGGAACACAATGGAGACTCACAAGTTGATTCATACAGGTAAACCCTCTAAAAAGCAGTATCCAGCAAAAATACCTTAATTTTGCTCCTTAATTTTGATTTAGACTGGCCAGTCTTGGAACTAACGTTGCACATCCTGTTACCAAACATCAATTATTGCTCTCCTTGAGGCGTTGGCAATCTGATGTTCATCCATTGGGTTTCCTTGCTTCCCTCTGCCACCAGTAGGAAAACAGTGGACGTGTTCAGTGTGTGATAAGAAGTATGTCACTGATTACATGCTGCAGAAGCACATCCAGCTCACCCATGACAAGGTGGAAGCCCAGAGCTGTCAGCTGTGTGGCACAAAGGTTTCCACCAGGGCGTCCATGAGTCGACACATGAGGCGTAAACACCCAGAGGTGAGTTTGAGTGCTGGATTGTGGAATTTTTAATTTATTTTTTTTTCTTTTAAAAGAATGTTTATGACCTTTGGTGACTTGAAAGGAATTGCTGTGTTTCCCTCTCTCTTTTTCCTGTTCTTTTGGGCCCAATTTTAAGTAGTATCTGTGAAACGTGGACTTAACTGAATCAGCCATTTCACTATCTGATTCTCAGTCCCTAAAAATGAGGTTCTTCTGATTATTTAAATCTCTTTTCTGTTTCTACCCTGGCTTAAATGTATGTTTTTTCATGTTTTGTCTCCATCTATTAGTGAGTATAATGGATTCTTTTTTCCCCATTGTGTTCTCTGTATTCAGAAGTGATCTGAAAGAAGTGGTGAATAGAGAGGTGATGGCAGCATCTGCTGATGATGCAAAATTATTCTCAGTATTAAAGATGAATGCTGACTGGAGAGAATGTGGATTAGAGGGATGTTTTGTCTGACCACAGCAGGGTTTTTTCTGTGTTCTAAATATTGTGTTTCTCCTCAGCATTTCCTGTTTAGGTTTGATTAAGGCTTGTCTGTTCCCTTTGAAGCTTTTTAACATTTTTTTAACTACCAATTTTTCATTAGCATTGCTTTGCTGTTTTATCATGATGATTGTGAAGGAAGTCAACAAAATGCTTTGTTTATTGATTTGGGGATTTAAAATGCAGCTACATATCTGAAATCCAGAGGGCAATTTGTCTTATTCTTTGATGAGCTGAGATGTGTAGATTCATCTGAAAATAATGAAATAGGACACAGTTGATAGGTTTATAAATTGAAATGATAACATAATACTTTTTTTTTCCAAACACATTGTTTTCTGTAGAATTCATCACGTTCCACAGCGTTATGTTCTGTCTAGAATATGAAAATGGACATGTTCTTCTACTGTGTTTAAATGTTGCTGGATTTCAGCAAGAGGGAGAAGGTGATATGCCAAAAGGTTATTTTAAAAAGCCACACTTAACTCCCTGTATTAAGTACTACATGTAAAGTGCTAGACTACATCACTATTGCTTGGTGATGGGGTTTATTAGGGAAATGCTGTGCTGTTTGACTGTGGTTTGCAGTGCTGCAGCTGACACCTCTCTGTGTTCAGATTCTTTCAGTGAGGATTGATGATTTAGAGCCACTGCCAGAGACAACCACCATTGATGCCTCTTCAATTGGGATTGTTCAGGTGAGCTCCAGGCCTGCTGCAGGGTGAGGTGGGACAGCACTTTTTGGGTACAGAACACAGCTGGGTGTGGGCTGATGGGTGAGGAATGTGCTTTTTTAGAGAGTCAGCCCCAGTGGAACATGTCCAAGCAGCCACAAGCTGCTGATCTGCTCGGTTGTACAACAGGCAGAATGTAATTACAGGGTGAGGTCTCAATCCCTGCAGTCAGGATTTTGCTAAAGTTTGTTTCTTTGCTTGAGAACTGACAATAAACCAGCTTCAGGTGATTGTCTCTTACTTGGAACCTCACTAAGCGAAAAGACTTGATGCTCTGTTTGGAAATGTGTTGCTGCAGCCGGAATTAGCCTTGGAACAGGGTGAACTGCCAGAAGGGAAGCAGCACATAAAAGCTCCTAAAAGTGGCCAGAAAAGAAAACAAAAGTCAAGTGAGGAGGAGGAAGCTCAAGTGCCTGAGGACCCTGCCTTTAGTGAATACACAGAGAAGGAAGGTGAATTCACAGGGAATGTTGGAGATGAGACTAATTCAGCTGTCCAGAGCATCCAACAGGTGAGCTGCAGGAGGAGGGTGATGGGTGGCATTGCTTAGAGGGATAACCCTTCTTTTGGTTAAAAAAACATCACAGAAGAGTGGTTGGAACATTTGGAGCTGATTGGATAAATTGTGGTAACACAAAGATGGGTTTAAAAACCCAAGAAGTTGGACCAATAAGCTCCTCATGTTTGTTTTATTTCCTCTGGGGTTAGATCAATTTGTTGATATCACAGTGTAGATATCTCTAGCTGGCTGAAGCTGGGATTAAAAGAATGAAAGTTAATTTGTCTGTTTGTTCTGAATGTTCCATATCCCTCTCTCCCATCACCATCTTACTTCTACACTTGGAAGTTGGTACATTCCAAATTTCCTACTTTCCCATCTGTGTGTGGCTTCTCTCGCTGGCACCATGTGAGCCCACCAGCACTTCCCTGGTATTTGGTGGTCACTCAGAATCTGCTGAGTGATCAGGTCACTGAGGCTGAGGTCATCTTTGTGTTTGTCCTCAGGTGGTGGTGGTGACCCTCAGTGATGTTTGTGTTTCTCCTCAGGTGGTGGTGACGCTCAAGGACCTTTGTGTTTCTCCTCAGGTGTTGGTGATGCTCAGTGATGTTTGTGTTTCTCCTCAGGTGGTGGTGACCCTCAGTGACCCTCAGTGATGTTTGTGTTTCTCCTCAGGTGGTGGTGACCCTCAGTGACCCTCAGTGATGTTTGTGTTTCTCCTCAGGTGGTGGTGACGCTCAGCGACCCGAACGTCTCAGCCCCCTCCAGCTCGGTGGGACTCACCAACATCACCGTGACCCCCATCACCACGGCAGCTGGCACTCAGTTCACCAACCTGCAGCCTGTGGCTGTGGGCCACCTGTGTCCCCCAGAGAGGCAGCTGCAGCTGGACAGCTCCATCCTCACCGTCACCTTCGACACCGTCAGCGGCTCGGCCGTGCTGCACAACCGCCAGAGCGACATCCAGCTCCCACCGCAGCCCGAGGCTCCCAACCCCCAGTCTGTGGCCCATTTCATAAACCTGACCACCCTGGTGAACTCCATTGCTCCCCTGGGGAACCCCCAGATGACAGAACAGCACCCCCTGAGCTGGAGGTCAGTGCCTCAGACTGATGTGCTGCAGCCCCCGGCGCCGGCCGCGCCGCAGCAGCCGGGCCAGCAGCCTGTCCAGACAGAGCAGCAGCAGCAGCAGATGTACAGCTACTAATTTATACTTGGGCATGGACAGTACTCAGAGACACAGAAAAAACACACAGACCTTTGGAAAATTTCTACTAGGATTGTTTGCTGGATACCAAACAGAGATGGGAATTTAATTTCATCATTTATACAGTGAAATTTAAGATGGAATTCGCAGATCACCCTGCAACACCCCAGTCTGAGGTTCTCATGCTGTCTCTAGACCTTGCACTGTCTTAAAAAAATAACAGAAAAGGGAAAAAAAAAAAATCTCACCACAAATTTAACACCCCCTTGCAGTTGTGCACTAAGATTGAGATTTGACAGGTGCATCATCACACACCTTAATAACCAAAGCAGGGAAATCCTAAATTTTGCAGCACTTGTGATGTACAAAAGCCCTTTCAGCCATACCATGTCACTTCTTTCCAAGTCTGGAAATGGCATCTGAAGACCTTGTTCACAGTGGGTGGAATGTCCTTGTGGTCAGCTGGTAGAGACTGAAACGTGAAGACACAAAGGGGCAAAACAGGAATTGTCTTTGTTTCTTATCTTCTTTAGGTCTTGTATCTAACAACATCAGTAAAGTAGGTGGAATTTGGGGTTTTGGGGTGGGCATGAGTGTGGTGTGGAAGAAAATATTACCAATTATTTCCATTTTAGTCATGGGAAAAACCCTGTACCCATCAGACAGTGATAGTGCTACTTGAGCCAGAGAGCTGATCTAATGCTGAAACAAATTTTTATGGTCTTCTAGTCAAGTTTCAATCAAACCAATTACAAACTGAAAGAAGAATGTGATACAGTTTTATGTAATTTTTAAAACCTCCTCTTTCAATCTTGCTTTTAGCTAATAGGCCTGAAGAGCAATCAATCCCCTTTGATCAATTTCAGGATGTGAATTTTTTTCAATTAGACTTATTTCATCCTGTAATAAACATTTGAGAAAGCATTCTTTTTATATATATATACATATATATATATATATATATATAGCCTTTGTATTTTACTGCGTGTTCTTGGTGAGTATTTGTGTGAAAAACACTGTTACCAACACAATTCATGAATTCTTTCATCCCCGTGTCGCCCTTCTCACAGAAAAAAAAAAAAAAGTATGGATCCTGTTCCTTCTGTTCCCAAAATTTATTTCCAAAGTTCACAGCCACACACAAGGTTGTGTGAAGTGCAAGGAAAAGAAAAAGGAATGTCTGAAGCATATTCTGTGTCCTGCCACATGGAGTCAGTGTGCCCCAGTGTATAAAGGGCAAGGTTTGCATGACTGCTGGGGATGCAAATCCTGGGCTGGGTCAAACACATCTGTGCTGACAGAACCCCTTCATTTCATTCTCCATCCATGGATGTGCAGTCTGGACTTTTGCATGTCAAGAAGATAGTGCTATTCCCACAGGGAAAATGAGCTGGTAGCAAAAAGGAATAAACTAAATACATATATATATATATATATACAATATGCATATATATATATATATAAAATGTTGTTGCTTGAAATCCTGAAGGGTAAACCCTGCTGTGGCTGAAGAACAAGGTCCTTTGGGGCAGCAGACTGAGCCACAGAACTGTGCTGAAGGGTTTTTTTTCCCTGAGGATAAAGCAGCTGCTGTGTCTGACAGTGAGGATGGATTGGTGGTTGTAAAAATCCTGTCTGTGCTTATTGTATTTATGAAAAATTCTATGTTTTAGCAGAAATATGAGTAGGAACGACTTCAGCTTTGAAAGTCTCTATTAACATGGACTACTTGACCCTTAAAGGTTGCCTTACAATCTCTATAACAAATTCTCCCAAAGTATAAATGTCTGGATATTAAAATTAACCTCCAGTGCTTTTCTTGGTGCCATGGCTGTGTCCAGAGGCTTGGGCTTTGTGTAAAGCTGCAGGACAGGGGTAGCAAAGGGGTTTCTGGTGATAGAATCTGTGTATCAGAGGAGCAAAACTACTTTTAATAAAATGTCAACAGGTCTATAGAATACCTGCATGGGAGGGACCAGTATTTGATGGGACAAGGATGCATATTAGAAAGAAAGGTACCTTTGAGCAGTGTGGGAAAGAGAAGTTTTTCATTCCCTGCTCACTTCTGTCTTCCTTAGGCACTTTTCACACAAATACTGTGAGCTCCTGTAATTTTTTAGCCTCCCAGTATCCTGAGTACAGTTCCTGGATTCTTTCACCACCGACTTGAGCTAGTTTCTCCTCAGCTGTCCTGCCCACAAATTCTGTTTCACACCAAACCAATGGGCCAGAGAAAGCCAGGTTTTATTTATGAATGATATTGTTTATGTACTTGAAACTTCTTTTTCCCCCCTGTGTTTGCCTAATTGATAAAGGCACATTATCTTTTGTCAGGTGGAAAAAGGGGAAAAACAGGGAAGAAAAGCAAATTCTGTGATTCTTTTAAATGGAGAACTCACATGATTCTGTGAAATAGAACTCCTATTACCACAACACTTGAGTTGTGGTAATACAGAATTTTTACACAATCAAAGTTTTGTTGAGATACATGTAAATGGTGATTAGGCTTTTAATTGGGGAGGAAGAGGTTTTTTACCTTAGCAGAGTCCATCTTCTCTATGTTGATACTACTGACAGTGGCATTTGTGCTGCATTTAATCAACTTGCATAATTTTAACACATAATTTCCTGCTTGATAAGAGTAGCACTCAGAGGAAATCAACTTTCAGAGACCTCTCTGGCTTCACAAAATCTCTATTCTAATGTAATTCCCTGGTTTTCTGTACTCTTATGGGGTTTGGCATCCCTCCCATGCTAGCTGGCCTCAGTAACCTCATCCAGGCAATAGGATCTTGCCTTTCTGGCAGTGGTTGATTCCAGGTGATTTTAGGAGGAATGATCCCACAGGAAGTGCTTGCATGCTGGTTTTCACATAGAAATGTCCCTCTTCAATCTCTGAGAATCCCCAAAATCATAGAACAGCCCAGGTTGGAAGGCACCTCAAAAGATGATTGATCTGGTCCAGCCTTTTTCTGGGGAAAGAGAGCATAGGTGAGGTGATAGAATCATAAAATCATCATTAACCTGTCTAATTGCATCTTTTAAACCTCCAGTGACACAACTCTGGGAAGGTTGTTCCAGTGGCTGATTGTTTTTCCTGTATAAATTACCTTAAATAATGTTCAGGAGGGGAAAATAGAACCACTGGGAAGGCTTTGGTTAGGCCAGGCAGTAGAAAACTCTAAATATGATCTTCCCAGAGCACTCCTTTGAGACAGGATAGGGAGTTTCTCCACAGCCCTTGCTGTGGTGCCTCATCATCTCCCAGCATGATTTTATTATTATTCCTGTTATGAACATCCATATGAGAAAACAACTGTATCTTGGGTGTGCTGCACCATGGGAAAAAAAAGAAATCCAGAACAAATTATTCTGTTTGCTTTTTGTTTCAAATGGTTTTGTTTGGAGATGTTGGAAATTGCTGCCTTTTCAGACAGAGCTTCCCTTGGACAAGCAGTGACTGCTCTCCCAACTAAGCCTTTTCCAGGTGAATACCAAAGTTGTACTGATGCTGTTTTCAAAGTGCACAAGAAATAAAACCACTCCACAAGGGATGTGCAATCTAAATTTCCTCTGCCAATTTGTTCCCTGCCTTTTCAGCTGTAGGATGTGAAGGCTTTCTTGTTTTGCATAACAGCTGTTCAGTCACAAACTGGAATTACTTTGAGCCAAAGGAGTGATGTTGTGTGGTGTTCTGTGTATTGTCATTGTTTATTGCTAAGATTATTATTTAATTGAATGCTGTCTGTGGCACACTGGGCTCTGAAGTAAAGGAGCATCAAGGTACAGAACCCTTTCTCTGCCAGTGTTATTCTTTGCTGTTCCTTAATTAAGATATCAAACATTTTTTTTCCTTCAAATCTCTTAGATTTGCCCCAAAAGCAATAAGATTAACTCTCATCCCCTGGAACTTTGTACATCCCAAATTAGAGAAACATGGGGTAGCATTCTGAAATATTTATTCTGTAGCTTGTTATTGGTAAGAAGAGAAAGCAAAAGAGATTGAATCTTTCATGGCTTCTGTGCTGAGTTATCTCAGAAGAATTGACTGTATCAAGTGTTAGTATGCTTTAGAAAACTAATTTCTTTTTAAACTATGAAAAGTGAGTATTTTTGCAGAAACCCAGTAGCCAGTCTCCTGCCAGTCTAACCAGCCACATTTCTGTACTCTTTTATTGTTCCAGAGATTGCCTGAAGTTAACATCCAGGTAACAGCTGGATTTATTTCAAGAACTGAATTCCCTGCCAGGCTGTCAGTGATTTGTTCTGCATACACAATGATGTCTCAATTTGACATCTGGAAAACCAGGAATGGAATAAATACCACACATCCAAGAGACAGTCATATCCAAACTCTAGGTGCCCCATGCAAATATTCACAAATACCTTGGTGAAATCTTGGCCAGGGATGAGATTTCCTTGGTGCTGTTTACAGTAATAATAATGTCCCTCCTGATTCCTTTTGGCTTGACATTTGTTATTGATTTGGGTGTAAACCAAATGTTTACATTGGAAGCTTTTTGTAACTCTTTAACCCTTGTATTCTTGGCTCCCTCATGGTTGGCCTCATTTGTTAAAGGAGATGAAATTGGAGGAGGATCTGCTCATCTACACCATGATGCACAGCAAAGCCCTGCTTGAAAAGCACTTTTGGAGACAAACATGCAGCCAAATGACTTGAATCTCTGAAATTACCAAATTTACCAAAAATAGGGGCTTTTGCCCTACAGCAAACCCAAAGTCTCATGGTGGCAGCAGGATGAAGGAAAAAAAATATTTCTGTCATGTTTCTCATCAACTTGACTTGATAGTCTTGAGTATTGATTATGCACTGTTCATGGCAGGAAGCTGCTAAAAAATCAGTGCAGCCATGGTTGGAAAGGATGTTTCTTGCCCTAGGATGCTTGGAGAAAGCTTTTCTGCTTTTATTTTCCCTCCTGGGTGCTGCAGGGCTGTTCTGCACCTGTACTGCTGCCATCTCACTTCAGACAGGATTCTGCAGTAGAATCTTAAATCACAGAATGTCTCTGTTTGGAAAGGGCCTTAAAAATCATCCAGTTCCACCCCCTCCCACTGTCCCAGGCTGCTCCAGCCCCAGTGCCACCCTGGCCTTGGGCACTGCCAGGGATCCAGGGGCAGCCCCAGCTGCTCTGGGCACCCTGTGCCCCTCCCAGAGAATTTCTTCTTAATACCAAACCTAACCCTACTTTCTTTCAGTTTACAGCCATTCCCCCATGTCCTGTCACCACATACCTTTATAAAAATCCCTTTCCAGCTCTCCTGAGCAGCTGATGATGGCTGAAACATTGGATCACTCATCCAAAGAGTCCAAGATCACTGTTGCTAAATTCCCAATATCTGAGCAGAAAGTGTCCTGGAGATTTCAGTGTCACCTCCAGAGTAAGAATTCCATCAGCATTTGGGGTGTAATGCCCTTGTATTCCTGCTTTATCCAGGAGCTGTGTTGGCCAGGTACAGTGCCTGACACTTTTGAAAAGTTGATTATTGTGTGCAACATCTGTAGAGCAGCTGATATGAAAAGCAAGAAAAACTACTGGGTTTGGAGGTTTATTTCATTTAAAGTTGAATTTTTCAGTCCTAATATCATTGCTGTCACATGAGTGCTTTCCTGTGTTTTTTTCTGTTAACTTGCAGGTTTTGATTCTAGAAGGTTTTTAAAAAAAGAAAGGGAAAAAAAGTAGTAATGGCAGAATGAGGAGTTAAAATTAGGAGAAACAAGTTATGCTCATTTTCTGCAGATTCCCACCCTTCTGCTGCCCACCTGAGCCTTAGGTAAGCTGTGCTGGATGATGGAGGCTGAAGGAAGGAGGCAGCACAAGCTCTGGCTCGTTTGGCAGAGCTGCGGCGTGGGGATTGAGGTGCAGGGTGTTGGTAAAGGGAGCAGGAGCTGTGCCTGCCTTATCCTCAGTGCAGGGTGTTGGTAATG